GAAACGCCAACTGACCCAACCGAGGCTCAAGCCAGCGACCTTCTTGCTGTGAGGTGATAGCACTACCTGCTGCGCCACCACGCCACCCTTGATAACAACATTGATGCTGTAAAAGGAAACATATTAAATTAAAATGAGTCACATAACGCTTTCACCAGAAGTTCATAATTGGTTGAAAAACACTGTGCATATAGCCTATTTGGGTAACACTTTAGATTAGATTACAATTCATGTTATTAACTACTGCCTTATTATCTGCATATTATTAAGATATTAACTATTTATTAGTAGTTATAACGCATGATTTTATTCTAAATCCCTAATCCTACCCAAACTGTCTATCGTATTTTCTATTAATACACAGCTAATTAGTAGTTTATTAAGCTAGTAGCGTTAGTTGATGTTTTGTCAACCATTTGTTAATGGTTTTGTTAGGTCATGATTTGTGACAGTGTTACCATAACTTGTATACAATTAACATACTTTGTATTAATCAATCTCCAACCGAAACAGTTATGTTTGTTGTATTTGAGACCTTTTCTTCATCACAGTTGAGAGATTATTAATAAGTTTAAACTAGTTCAGCCTATTTTTCTCCATTTTTGCAGTATGATGGAGTCGGTTGTATAAAAATAGAAACAATATTAGTGCAAATCCTGTTGCGTTCCATGCAAACATCAGCCTGTTTTGGTTAATTTTGCTCTTAGAGTCTCCACAATTATGGAGTAGTATTTCACCTAAGGATAGATTTATTGTTGAGAAAATTGCTCTGGCTGCATGCTGTTCTTTTCGGGACTTGGCTTTGAGTCTTTGCTCATAGCAGTTTCAGCTGCTAATAAGCACTTATGTGTCATTAGATCAGCAACCTGAGCCATCTTGTTTGCACCTCTTCCACTTATAAAACACAAGCATACTAAAAACTTGGTTATAAAATAAGGTCACTGAGATTTAACGTGCTCAACCATTAAAAAAAAATGTGGTTAGTAACTTTTTCTTTTCACTAAGACTAACCAACTACTGATTTGTGTACTTGTTGTACAGAAGTGTTCTATTAAAAAGAGGATAAAGCATAGGAGGTCTACTGAGTTTGGGTTTGAAATGAAAGCATGCGTGTTTACTTTGGCCCAAGGGGTCTGTTTTGTTGATTTAGGCTTTAACCTTTAACCCTTGACTCCCGTTGAACCTGAGACACCCGGGTGTTTTTCCTTCCACCTCTGTCGCTGCTTAAGTAGACTCGAGGCCAGTTTGTCATCGCTGAGAGGTTTGACTGCTCTACAATAAACAGTCTTGACTGTTGCACAAAAAAAATAACCTGCCTGTCTCCAGGTTGTTTAGAGACTGCTTAAATTACATGCTTTCAACATATATGACCATTTAATGACGGTTCAGCCCATGGAAAGTCCATGCTCACTCAGCAGATTTGAGGGAAACAAACTGAGAGTAGATAAAGTGCAGGGAATTCTTCACTTCTATCTGTGGAATTTGTGCAGTTCCTCATTGCCGGGGGTGTGGGGTCATGTTTTAGCAACACTATCAAGTTCACATGTCAGTGGATTTTTACTAAGGTACTATGTCTCGGCTTGTCCACAAATATTTGGTTGTTATTCCTTTATTTGTTAGAATTTGTCTTAAGTTACACCGTGTCTTAACCAGATGCGACAAGTTTCTAGCACTAAGTCTGCTTTAAATGTAAAACAGTTTGAAGTCAATTAGATGATATTTAATGTAATTTTTGAAGGCTACAATCCATAAAAAACTTTGGGCACCAATATTCTGAAGCTAGTGAGATTTAACGAAATAAAGTCTTAACTTAAGCTCAGATTTTAGATTAGTAGGTTTGTTTGTTACTATTGGTATGCCAATGTAGTTCATTTAATAAGTGTTAAAGCTGTCAGTGTTGTCTCCGCTGGCGATTACTTCCTGTACTCTGAAGTAATCTGCAGCACTTTATTTCTGTTGGAGATTACTTCTTAATGAACTACAACTCCCAGAACTCTCTGCGCTCATCAACTCCTTGAGCAGCTGACCATAAATCAAACACTGATTACAAGGACAATAAGTACACCTTACATTCACTCACACATGGCTGACTCATGTTTCTTTATTGAATGCTACAAAGCATTTTTCTCTAATTGTTTTTCCGTTAGTTGTCCCGTGTTTTGATTCTAGTCTTGTTTACCATTTTTGATTCTTTACCGTCAAGTCTGACCTCTAACCTGTATACTGACCACATTTATTGGATTATGCTTGTACTACTGTTTTGCAAGACTGACCAAAGTGATTCACAACATCATAAAAACTAGAGATACAAAAGAGAGAATGAAAAAATATAGAAATAGAAACACAAATCAAACAACTGACATTTGATCACACCACAGAGCAAAGAGACCCAAGACAACTAAACACAAAGTGTGAAGACATCCATATTCTTTGACATAAGATAAATCATTTTTATTTGTGAAAATAGTTAATAACAATTGTCTAAAAGGCTCTGTATTGGTTGTGACAATTCTACTTTTTAGTCTACTTTTAGTCTACCTGTGTAATCAACTGTTGCAAACCATTAAAAGTGTCAGGAAAACACTGTCAGGTAGTGCGGGTGACACCTAACCAATTCAACTGTGTATTTATTTTTTACATTGTATTTTCAAATGACATGTAAGCAAACTTTTTTGAAAAATGAAGTTTATCACAATGAGCAAAACTGCTATTGTTCACAACACAAATACTTATATGCAGTAGTATTTGAATCTGAACCAATGCGATTTTTTTAGACAGGGCTAAAATGCAACAAAATATATATCAGATTGACGTAATGTCACAAGCACTCATTCTTTGTTACAGTCACTAGATCACTGAACACTACAATGCTATTATTAGTATGATTAAATCTATTATCTGCAAGATTACTGTTTGTCTTCAGCAAATAAAAGAAAATAATAACCTAAACAAAACACCAGTTGACTCAACTTTAAGTCACTCTAAAGTCACTTTTTTCACCACATGGTAGGTCTTACCTGCTCTCTATGATAGAAATGGTTAAACAAGTGGCTTTTTTTTCTTTTCAGACTTCCTGCTTTATATTTCTAAATGTTTTATGGTAGTCTAAATATAGCTTGTGCTTAAATTACAGCTTTTAAAAGACTCCCTATGGCTATGAGAGACGGAAGGATTTTTAAAAGCTTGAAAAAAAAGTAGTTCACCCCATACCACCCCTGGCCTCTTAACCAAGCCAAATTAGAGAGAAAGAAAGAGGTATAGAGTAGGGAAAAGGGGGGAAACATAGGTTTGTAAACCAGCACAGCTGGAGTAGTGAATTGAAATGAGGTTAGGGGACGGAGAGAAATTGGGGCAATCTGACTTTCCCCTGGAGGCAGCTAACCTCCCAGTCCATTAACAGAACAATTTCCGTGAAATTTGGTTGAGGAAATTGACTGTGATAATGCTTCTTGTAAATTATCATTAACCAACTGTTGCATAAGTATAATCTGACCTCTCCTGTTTAAACCGCAAGGTCTTATTTGCACATTCATCTTACTGGTCACCCAGAACGCCATACAAAAGTGTTTTTTTACTGGGGAGCCAGATCTCATAAAGGATTCTCCCTGGTGCCCCTGTGATAACTTAAAATGAACAGTCTTGATTCTGACAACCCTAGCAACCAGGTACCAATGATTAGGGTATAACTATAATGTATTCAAAGAATAAAAAAGTCCTCAAAAGACCAAACATATAATATGCATGCATGACATCATCCTCTTACTGCTTAATGTGACTTTTTTTTCCAAATGTATTCTTTTACAGCATTTATGTTGTAATATAATTAAAATATAATCAGTTGAATAGACTTCAGTGTTCATTCAGTTGTAGAAACATAAAACAAGATGAAAAGCTGTTTACATGCACGCGCCCATCAGGATCAGCAGGCTAGCACAGAAACTCTATTGAAAACACTGGGGTAAAATAAATGTTCATATTTTAAAGACATGGCATGGAATAATGTAATTTAATGCAGTGCTTCTTATTCATTTTGAGAGTCATTTTATATCAATCAATCAAGCACTAAAGATTACTGAGTTTTAAAGAAAATGGACCTTAAACACGCTAATTTTGTAATGGTATACGAAGCGTTTGACCAAGGTTACTGAAAAATTAATAGTCCTTCTGCATATACATTATTACAGTGGTGCTCAACCCTGTTCCTGGAGATCGACCTTACTTCAAAGTTCAGCTTCAACCCTGATCAAACACACCTTAACCAATTAATTAGGACCTGAACAGCACTTGATAATGACAGACAGGTGAGTTTGATATGGGTTGCAAATGAAATCTGCAGGAAGGTCAATCTCCAGGAACTGGGTTGGTCACGCCTGCCCTAATATGACCTCAATTGTGATATTATTTTTAAATACAAACATAAGAAGTTCACATAAATGAAACATTTTTTTCATATCAACAACAAAAGCCCAACATAAAGACACAGAATAGTAATATGTTTATCAGAGGTTTAGGATGTATTTAAATGTGTTATATATAAAACACCCAAAGAAAGACATTTTATATTACCAAAGTCTGAATTTGGTACTTTATGGTACTTTGGGGACTGTCTCCTACCTATTTTATGTGTTCTCATCTGTTGTAGCACACAGCCCAAATCCCAGTGCATTCTCATTCTTTAAAAAAATAGAATGTAAAACAAAATACAATTGTCTTTCTTTGCTCGTCATTATTTCATCTTTGACAGAAAAGACCCCCCTGGTGGCTTAAACTATGTACTTGCTTGCTATATACTGTATGGAGGATTAGCTCTGGCTTTAGCTTCATAGTTACACTATAATAACACTATCGGCAAATCTTTAGAAAGTGTAAAAGTCTGTAGTCATAACAGAAAATATTCAAAACATGTTTGCCACCCATTTTACTAGTGTAGCATTTACTAATTAAGGTGTATTCAGGTCAAATCTGCATGTGATTGACAGCTTATGTGTGTGTGTTGACAGGACTGGCCTCAGAAGACCCATCACCATGGCCTCAAGAAGCGGGGTCGACTTCATCATGTTCAGGATACCCTGAATGAAGACTTTAGCAATAAGAGAGCGCAACCACACACTCAGTTTTGGAACAGGCCGCGTTGTGGAGTCCCAGACTACCCTTCAGAGAAGGGGGGAAGCTCTCTTCATTTCTCAGCCCACAAAGGAGGTTTGCTTGGGGGCCGCCACCGACGAAAACGCTTTGATTTGTTCCCAGGACGCTGGGACAAAACAGACCTCACTTACAAGTAAGACTTATGCGGTTGCGGTTGTATGGTTGCCGTGTCTACACTTGTTTAGAAGATAGATGTAAAATGAATGAATCATAGAAGCGTAAATTGATTAAAACAGCTTTGATGTATTGCCAAGGTACCATTTTAAACCTTACGCAATAAAGGCATGGAAATTCTATTGTTTATTTATAGTATCCTAACACACGTTTTACTGAATCTATCCATTAAAGGTTCCATGACATTAAAACAAAAGTTTTTTAGATGTTAGTATCAGTATTATTCACTTCAAGGATATCTATAAGCTTCTGTGCCCCAAAAACAGTGACAGAATTCGCATTTAGAATTTTTAAAACTGATATAAACATGTAAAGCCTGTAGTTTGTCACTTCCACCCGAATAAAACTAATTATTAACATCACCTCACACTACAGTTTCTCATCACATCATGAGGCAAGGCAAGGCAAGGCAAGGCAAGTTTATTTATATAGCACATTTTATACACAGTGACAATTCAGAGTGCTTTACATAAACAAGAATAAAAGAAACAAGTATAAGAAAAATAAAAACAAATAATAAAACTGTTTAAAAAAGACAACATAAAAACAGATAAAATGTGTTATAAAAGAATGAAAAAGAAGAGAAAAACATAATAGTGCAATAGTCGGACGTAGCACAGTGCTCATTCAGTAAAGGCACAGCTAAACAGATGCTTTTTCAGTCTTGATTTGAATGTGCCTACTGTTGGAGCACATCTGATCATTTCTGGAAGCTGATTCCACCAGCGAGGGGCGTAGTGGCTAAAAGCTGATTCACCCTGCTTTGACTGAACTCTTGGAATTTCTAGTTTATATGATCCTAAAGATCTGAGTGATCTGTTAGGTTTGTATTCAGCGAGCATATCTGTAATGTATTTAGGTCCTAGTCCATTTAGATTTATAAACAAGTAATAGTACTTTAAACTCTGTTCTGAATGGAACTAGGAATTGTAACTGGGTAATTGGTTAATCATAACCAATCAAATGCTCTCTAGTATCTGACATGCACTGCCCCCTTCAAGATGGTTCTCTCATTTGCATGTCATTTGATGTGTTTGAGCTCAACCACTTTCAATGGCAGGGTGATGATAAAAGAAAGCACTATTGGCTGTTTTTTTAAAAGGGGAGGGGCTACTCTACGTCCTACAATCGAATCATATTTTGCTTGAGATTACATCAAATATCGAATAAAAATACATATTTCAAAGCACTTCACTGGACATTTAATTCTGTGGAACATAAATCAAGACTGTTAGATGAAACCATAGTCCTCAGAAATAAACAAATAAACAAATATAAAGTCAACATCTAATAGCACTTTGAGAGTAAAAAAAACGAACAAAATTTATACGTGTGATTTCTGATGATATATTGAGGTCTTATGAAGCAAAACGATCAGTCTGTGCAAGAAACTGAACATTATTTCCAACATCATCTTTTATCCAAAGTCTCACTAAATGGTTCTACACGAGTTCACACTTACAGATATTTGACTGAATAGAATATGCGTATTTGGCTTGCTGTCCGGGGAGAGGGCTCTGAGCTCGGGAAGACACCCTAAATCATGTTATTCCCTATATGAGAATAAAGAGAGATAGGGTCCGAGCGCAGTGTCTAGCCCGGCTCCAGAAAGCTCCCCCCTCAGATTTAAATAGCTATCTGGTTTATTAGTGTGAAGTTGGGGTGGTGAAGGGACGCTGAAGTCGAGAGAAAACAGAGGTATGACGCGTTTGACTATTTATAGGGGTTTGCTCTTGAGCTGTTTGGATAATAGTATGATTGTGTGTGTGTTGAATTAGCCTCCTCAAAGACCGATAGTGCTCCTCCTGAAATGTGTTTATAAAACATCACTTAGCATGACAGTCTAGAGCCTTGCGTAAAAAGTCATTTATGAACTGTAAATCTGTAAGTCAATCTATCCAATTGATATCATGCACATGAACATAATCTTTTATATAAGTTGCAGAATCCATAAAGATCAAAAGTGCCATTTTTAATGAACAGTTCAACATACGTGTCCTCTGTCAGCATTGTAAACGTTGTCAGCTCATGTGTGAGTTTGAGTCCACACATACTGTACATCATTAGCTATGTTTTTATCAAAAGATGCAAATTAAACGAATGCACAAAACTGGAATATCGCAGCAAACGTTTGCACTTAATGCCTCATTTACACTAGCAGCGACTTTGCAGCTGCCTATCACTCTGGGTAGCGACCTGGTGCATACACAGGGGTGTGTGGGTTTACAGCACAGAGAATACAACATGCCTCTGAGTGAGCTAAGAGAGGATCACGTGAGCTGTCCTGGTGCTCCTATTGGCTGTCACTCAAGAAAGTCATTTTCATTTGCATAAATTTGAAGGATTCTCAACTTTGTCGCATCACTAGACACGCCCACCTGGTCGGCAACGGTCACTGTCGACCGCATAGACAGAGGTTGCCAGAAGATGCTCACTTTCTGTTGAAATGAACAGTCGCTTGTCGTTTTGCCGCTGCGAGTCATTCATAGTGTGAATGAGGCCATAAGCAATGAGTCAAAGAGAACAAAATCGCCACTTCCTAATAAATTGGCACCAAATATAATAAAAAATTTGAAACAGCAAGAGAAGACACTGTGGGCCTTTTTCTGATTTAATAAATTACTTGTGCCTCAGAAGATGAAGATGAAACACAATTAACGTTGTCATAACTGGCTTTAGGCCTGAGGTCGCTACTTAAGACATTTTTTGGGAGGTAACAACACCAAACCACTTTGACGATGGACTTTGGCTAAAGCTTTTTTTAAAAAAAGACCAAAGCAACAACAATTTTTTTTTTTTTTATCAACAATTAAAAATGTGGTCGGTCCACTAGTTTGTCCATTAAAATCGCTCCATTGTTCCCATGAAATGTATTTTTTATGTTTACATAGTAGTTTATGCATGTATTTCTTTCTGGATAAAAAGTTTCTTACTCGGTTTCGTGTTTTACGTTTTTGTGCATTTTTTATATTGGCATTTCCATAAAAAAATAAATAAAAATCTTTACGCAATAGTGCAAAATGTAAACAGAAAAATAGAAGGATGGATGTCACATGACAGAAAGCTTATGCTGTAAACTGTTGCGAACAGTCATGGCTAAACAGCCTGATCCTACGAGGAAACTAACAAGTATGAACAAACATGTTTATTGAATGTTTTGTCAGTTCAGTGGATTGTTCAGTCATATGAAAATTTACTATTTTAAAAAGGAGGTGTGGAAACCAACCCTGCCTCTAAACCCAACCGTCACTATGGGATAATCAAATCTTACTAAATTGTACAAATGAAATCATACGAATTCATACGAATTAGCCACTAAATCAAAAAGTTACGAATTGCCGTGAGATTGTGTTTAATTAAACGCAAAAACTACTGTAAACAGTTGTGGCTGGAAAGGAATCCGCCGCATAAAAATATGCCTGAGTAACTGGCGATTCATTCCATTGTGGCGACCCTTGATAAATCATGGGCTCAGTTGAAGGATATTGAGTGAGTGAATACTGTCAACAATGTGCAGTTTCTTTCAACTGCCAAATGTTTTGCTTTATAAGACTTCATCATGTATCATCAGATGCCATGGGTAGTAATTTAGTTTTGCCTGTATATGTTTTTGAATCTCAGAGTGCTGTTAGCCATTGACCTGCACCTTATGAATTACAGAGAACCACAATTTCAGCCAAAACTTCTTTAATGTTCTCTTAAAGTCACCTACATCTTGAGTGAGTAAACTAACAGCATATTTTCAGTTTTGGCTGAACTATCCCATTAAGGGTTTTTTCTTATTAAAGGGTGTTTTTTTAATGAAACATTACCAGTTCTTCCTCCTTTTTATGGCAGAAATATACTCATTTCCAACCCACAGAGGAAATACTTGGAAATAAAAGTGGACGTTTCTCTCTTTATCTTCTCAGGTTTCTTAAAGTCGTTATCGGTTCTAAAGAAGACCACACACTCTTTCCAGCATTACACCCATTTAATTAGAAGCAGTAAACTGTCTCGACCCGGGACTGCATGGCTCCAAAACACAACTAGAAATATGTATCAAACCTCCCTTTGATTTTTAAACAGTAAATCATTTTTCTTAAACACACACAGAGGATTATTTCAAGATGACTTTAATTTAATTGGTTTTTAAAGGGATATTTAATCCAAAAGCAAAATTTTACCTCCACAAATGGCTTCTTCTTCAGAGAAATGTAATATATTTCCCAGTCGTTTGTATTAGAGTTTGTTAGTTAATGTATTTTCTAATATGACTAAACAATGAACAACTCATTTATTAGAGTATGTTTTAAGCTTTGTTAATGTTAGTTAATGGAAATAAAGTTGTTAGATCATGTAAACTTGCTCATGTTAACAAGCACATGTTTTGATTTTAATTTGCAAATGTTGAACTAAGATTAATACACATAGTACAACTATTGCTCATTATTAGTTCATGGCAGTAAATACATTAGCTGTTTTTGTTTCGATGAAATGAAAATCAAAGGGATACAATGCTGTTTTGGACCTTACTGATTTAAGAATTCATAATTTCAGAGGTATCTTTTTTTTCAACCCAGGCTCATTCTGAATACGCACCCCTATATACATTTCTGGAGAGCGCCAAATACATCCCAGGAGCAGTTTTTTTTTTGTTGCATTTTTTCATTTTGTAAATCCATCTAAGGCCGCTGTGTACGCTTTTTGAAATCTCAAATTTCTCTCACGAGTGCCGTTCACACCTGCTATCCTCACATAAATATAACAGAGGCCGGCGTTGTCTGACTGATAGACTGATCCACCGATTCATAAGCACTGATTAGCCTAAACCCAACTGAAAGTTTTAAAAAGCAATCCAGAAAAAGAAAAGCCCTTTGCCTGATTTTTACCACGTTTTCAGATTTGTAGTTTACTTATTTATTTAAATTTTTTGCTTGTTTTTTTGGTCTTACCTGCTTTCTGGAACCATTTCAGACT